TTAGGGACGGGCGGAAATACGCCAAGGTGGGAACGAGACCATTGAATACAATGGGATTTATATTTTTGAGCGTTTTGTAGAGCGTTCGTCGAGCGTAGAACGCGCTACAAAACGTTCAGGTGTGAACGAGGGCTTAAAACAAGCAGTCTTGAAGTCTTATCAGTGCAAGAACAGAAACAAAGCAGCAGCAAACTGCACAAGCTAGCAAGTCCTGCTTTCCAAAGGCATGTTCTCATATTGCAGATTTCTTATCCTTGGGCTGTAAAGGACTCCCTCTCTGAAAATGTACTCCCACACTTAGCCGTGCTGTCATATGAGTTTGCAGGAGGCTGTGCAGGGAGCCCAGGCATGATGTCATGGGGCTGCAAGTATGTCCTTTTACTGATTGCAACTGAAGAAACTTTCACCTGGGGACAGCCTCTTTAAAGTGACATTAAACTCAGGAGTTAGATCTTAAAAATACATTCCAGTACCTTAACTATTAACAAAAATGTATGTTATTTGTGTATCGCTGTAGATCCTCAAATCATCTCTGAATTCATAATGACCCTGTCCTTCCTTCTGGAGGGGGGCTACTTTTGTTCTCCATGGTCCTTGTGTGTGTTGTAAAGTAGCCACTCCTCCAAGCTCACTCCCCGTGATGGACTACAATCTCAATACAAATTAGTAAACTAAACATGATTGTAGTCCAATTTGTATTGAGATTGTAGTCCATCACAGGGAGTGAGCTTGGAGGAGTGGCTACTTTACAACACACACAGAGACCATGGGGAACAAAAGTAGTCACCCTCCAGAAGGAAGGACAGTGTTGGCACCAATTCAGAGATGATTTGAGGATCTACAGCCGAGTGATACGCAAATAAGATACATTTTTAATAGTTAAGGTACTTGAATGTATTTTGTAAGATTTTACTCCTGAGTTTAGTGTCACTTTAAGATGAAGGCTCATTTTAGACTTTGTGTTTAATTCTATTTAAAATATGTCCTTTTTGAAGGCTGTTTGCCTCTTCTAATTTTTTTGTATCTCTTCCTCCTCTAGGGCCTCGTTTAGGAAACTCTCCTGTGCCAAGTATCGTTCAGTGCTTGGCACGGAAAGATGGCACAGATGACTTCTATCAGCTTAAGGTGAGCTGGTGGAGATTGCCCATGACTACACTGTACTGTATTACTACTATTCCTCTCTTAAAGTGACTCTGTTGCTAAGATTAAAGTGCTAATAACTGAGCTCCCTGCAAAGAGGAATGTAAACTCTTACCTCTCCTCTTCCTGCACCACTGAACACAGCGAAGGGGACATGAGATTGCAGAAACCGGCACTTCTGGTAGTGTCAGACACTGCAGCAGTTGATTTCTCTGGATGAGAGCTGTCTTTTGATGCAGCAGGAGGGGTAAGAATTTTACTTTTTTTTGCAGAGAGCACTAAGGCTGGGTTCCCACCTGGGCGTTCGAAATATGCGCGTATGATGCGCGTTTTGGGCTGCGCATTTTTACTGTGATTTGAGGCCCACGAAACTCGCTTCAGACGCGCGTTTACGAGAGCTATCCGGCTGTATCCTAATGGATACGCGCGTAAATACGCCCCAAAGAAGCTCCTGTACTATTTTGTGCGTATTTCAGCGTGTCACTACGTGCTGAAATACGCCCAGGTGGGAACCATGCCCATAGCACATTATGGGATTTCGCTGTTTGAGCGTTTTACAGCGCTTCGATCAGTGCTGTAAAACGCTCAGATGTGAACCAGGGCTTTTTACAGCGCTTCGATCAGCGCTGTAAAACGCTCAGGTGTGAACCAGGCCTAAATGGCATTTTAATTTTGGCAACAGTCTCTTTTATATTTGACTCCCATTTCCTCATACAGATTATGCTACCTCAGTTTGTCACTTAGAGGTTCACTTAAAAAAAGAATTAGAATTATATTTTTATTCAATTTTTTATTACTTGACTTTTTTTTAAAACCCAGTGGCCATTGAATGTATTTTTAAAAAAGCATCTCTGATACTGGATTTGTGGTCCCAGCCTAGGCTTCACTGCCTAATAAAACCGGCCAAGGAAAAGACCTAATGGCGTAAAGGAATATTATATACATTTTTTCTTTTTTTACTTCCCATGATAGCCTTGCAGCATTTATTGATGCTATGTTTTCAACAAATTCATAGAAATCATTTTAAGGGTACACAAAAGTAATATAATCTCTAAAATGATGCACAAAACTGTAAAAAGGTGACTTGCATTACTAACGTTGAAGTGACCCTGTCACTGTGGGGTCCAAAGGATAGTTAAGTATACTTGCGTTTGTGCTGCCAGTGTCTTAAAACTGCCTTGTTGCACATCTCTGACCACATCGGATATCTGACACTTCTCCCCTGCTGCGCACTGTGGTTCCTCCCACCAGTTTCTACATCACCATTGTAGAAAAAGCAGCTCGTGTCAGAAACCACAGCACCCATTGGGGGAGCAGGAATTCAACACACATGGAATTATCGCCTGCAACAGTCACAGATCACACACATCTATTAATGTTAATGCCTCTAAACTTCAACAGTTTTACCGTTTGTGAAGTGATCAAGTGACTCCCAGTGTGTTAAACTCCCTCGACTTTTTTTGTTTTCTCCCACTCCACCCTGCATGTGTTTAAATCTATTTACAGAGACATCAGGGGGTTTCTTATGACGCTCAATGTCTCTATTGTGTGGTGCAGAATGAGATGGTAGTTCAGTCACTGCACCAGGAGGTCACCCAATCTCTGATTAATTTCCAATATACATACGACTCTACAGGCTGCTTCTATTCTGTTTTGTAGCGCATTTACATAGTCTACCACCCATGCCTTGAGGTCTTTAACCTTTTGTTGGGCCAGAAAGTATGAACGTCTAGTTTACAACTGATAATGAGATCTGCCAGCAGTATAGACAGGGTTAATTATGGTAAACATAACTCCTCAAAGCCCTCCCATAACACTACGTAAAAGAGGAAAAATAAGTGAAAAGCAAGTCAAAAGGTAAGCAGCAATTTATTGATTTTCAGGGGTTTGGAAATGTAAAAAAAAAAGGGGGGGGGGGGGGGGGGGAGAGCAGGCTGCTACAAGTGATGTGGACAGCTGTACAGCCACCCAGATCACATGTACAAAACAAGCGATGCCTCCCCTGCTATACATTTGGCCCTGCTTGCCTGCAGCAGGGTAAAATGTAGAACAAAAAATAACACCTGCCAAGCGCATGGAATATCATGTCCTGGGCATGGGATGATAGGAATAGCACACCCCTACTTTTTTTTTTTTCCTTTAAGTTATGCTATGTGAATGGGAACATGTAACAAATATAAAGTAGGTGTTATCCTAGTTTGACTGCAAAAGTGGAAATGTGCTTTAAATGCTTACATTTAAATCTGGTCCAGTAAGTGGTAATTGCACCACATCCCAATTAGTACCATAAGAAAACCATTGAAATTAATTATTGTCACTTTTCAGGTGCTAAAAAGATACATTGCACACATTACTTTATAAAAACAATCTTATTATTGCAAATGTGCATATATAACAAATAAGGAAGAGACTTTGCCGTGTCTACAGTTGGCGCTGAATGCTCAGTGATAACTGACATCCTAGTAGCCTTGATACCCCACTCATCAGCACTTTTCTTGTCTCGGTACATAGAAAAATGTATTCATTTCTCTCAAGCCCTTTAACTATCTCACTGAACCTTTGGTCTGGTAAAATTTCTAGTGGTGAAAAGGTGTAGAGATGAGTAGTTTTAATAACCAATGTATAATACATATACTGCAGACTAACTTTGTTGGCTAGTGCTGATTAGTATACAACTCCCTTTATGTTCCACACAGAGATCTGAGTCGTGCACATCATGCCATTATTCTTGTTTTGTAGCATGCTGTATATATATTTTTGCAACTCTTATCAATGTGTAATTATTTTTCGTTTCAGATCCTGAGCCTGGAGGAAAGACCTGATAAAGCAGGGGAGACACAGGAAGAGAGACAAGGCAAAATGCTGCTGCATACTGAATATTCTTTATTATCCCTTTTGCACAATCAGGATGGAGTGGTCCATCACCATGGTCTTTTCCAGGTAATGCAGAGATGTTCTCACAACTGTCCTAATTATCAGTTCCTGGCAGAGACTTTGCATAAAGAGGAACTCTGGGAAGAACCATTTGAATCTATACTGTCCTCTTACTGTAACTTCACTTTAATAAAAAAAACGGCCCTGAATGAGGTATCAGGCTTAATATTAGTTTACCTCTGAGCAACCCATTAGCTTTTTTCATTTACTTTTGCCATGGCAGGTTTAAACATGAAATGGAGATACTCACTGCTTACTAGAGGGAAGACACAAAGGGGGCGATTTATCAATCTACTTTCTGGGCGAATGCCATTCATCCAGCACTACCGGCTCTAAATGGCACTGAGGATTATAGGGATTTCTTTGATTCTCGGCTCCATCTATTTGGTGGCAGTGTTATGTGAATGGCATTCACCCAGCTATACGCTGGGTGAAAGATTTATAAATCGTCCCCCAAAGCTTTTTTTTTTTCAGCTACTATTTACATGATACCTGTGTATGAGAAAGCGCTTAGTGTTTTGTAGGGTATACACGCTTCCAGTAGTCACTTGCCCATGTCATATTTCAAAATCTGGAACCTGTACTTTCTCTGGGCAGGTCTGAATCGAAGGAAAAAAAAATAAACTCGGGTACCATTAACCAGTACATCTTGGTGCTCTTTTTCCATTTTGTGTTTTTTTCATATTTATTTGAGTACCGATAGTAATCCCATATCACAGCGAAGAAGAGTTAACCACTGGAGGATTTTGAAATGCATCCTAAAATGATATGAATATGAATCTGGAGAATCCTACCGCACTCCTTAGGGGTATGTCCCTTGCGGTGGGTACTGTAGTGACTGCTGATGGCGCTGCTTCAGATTCAAGTAGAAAAATATATCACCAGCACACCATGGTCAAATCTTCACAAAGGGATCATTTTGTGAAGATCACATTCCAAAGTTTCGGGGCCACTCAGGGTCGCGCCTGAGGAAGGGACCCTGAGTGTCCCTGAAACTTTTTTTCTTTGCCCCCTAAAAAGTATTTCCGTTTGTGATTCCTTTTATTGCAATTTATGTACCTAACTTACAGCAGTTTTATGTTCAAATGATGGCTCAAGTCAGATGTTCACCTGTTGTTGTATTGCTCTGCATAAAGTAAAACCTTCATCTGGTTGCTGTTAAGCCTTGATCTTCATATTTCTAGGACCGGACATGTGAAATTGCAGAAGATCTGGACGCCAACAAGCTAGTGAGGAAAATGCGGAAACGGATATGTCTGGTGCTGGATTGTCTTTGTGCCCATGATTTCAGTGATAAGACTGCAGACCTAATCAATTTACAGCATTATGTCATCAAAGAGAAGAGACTGGGGGAACGGGAAACAGTAGTTATCTTCTATGATGTTGTCAGAGTAGTAGAAGCCCTTCATAAGGTATGATTCATACAGGTCTTTGCTAACATACAATTTGTTGTGCTTTACAACTTTAAACGTGGAAGAGGTATCTGTTGTCCCCAGTCAGTGCCAGTTAGGATACATACTGACAACTAAAAGTGTGCAGATGTGCAAGACAATGGGAGCTCTGCATACCAGCTCTTACAGTATATTCTTATTAATGACTGAGCATTTTGTAGCATGCATAAAGTGTTACGGTAGATTGATCTATTTTTTTTGGAACAGGAAGTTTTTTAGTTGTAACTACACACTTGAATTGCACACAGTATAACTGAAAACATACCTGTCACAATTATACTATGTGCATATCTAAGGCGGGGTGTTTTCGGCATACATTACACTGTGCTCTGGTATTCCCTCCTCATGTATCACTTCCCCCTCCCTTTTAGATTGCAAGCCCTCAGGGCAGGGCCCTCCTTACCATCTTGTCTTGATTTGTATTGTGATTGTAATGTCTTCCCTATATTGTAAAGCGCTGCGCAAACTGTTGGCGCTATATAAATCCTGTATAATAATAATTTGAAAGAACTGTACAGGATGTATTGCCATGATTTTTAATAGTTGGCACTATAACACCACTGTAATAGAAACTTTTTCTATTTTTTTAGAAAAATATTGTTCACAGAGACTTGAAGCTGGGTAATATGGTGCTGAACAAGAGGTAAGAGATCAAGCACCCAAGTTAATCGTTTTCTATAGTTAAGTGTAACATGCATAATATTGAACTGTATAGATTCAGTTCTGTAATGCCTCATCCCACGTGATGTGTAAACAAATTGGACCAATACCTAGTAATGATTTGGCCTTTATTTAATAAAATGCTATGACTTTTTTTTTCTTCTAGAGTTTATAGGTTGAAAGATAATGCTAAAAATGTTATTGTCAATGTTAGGTGCCATCCAGTATAGTCTCAGGGCATGGTTTACATTCAGGGCTTAGATACTCACATGCTGGAGTTAGTGTAGTTTTCCAATTTTTGCCATGATTTGTGCTAGTTCAAGCTTTGCCGTATGAATTCTACATTCATTTTGAAAACTGTATTTGGATTACTACTATATCCAATAGTAGCGATGATAGATGATTGTTATAGCAGCTCTGTTAGAGTAGTCAGATCTTTGTAATAGGGCCCCACAGACATGTAAAGCTCTGGCATTTTGCTACCACTTTTAATGGTTTGTGTTGTGTTGGCATCTAGTGTAGTAGTGCAGGTGGAAGCACTTGTGCATGGAGATGCAGAGTTGAACCCTGAGAGAGTGTGTGTGTGTGTGTGTATATAGGAGGGTTTGTAATCTTCTACTTTTAGCGCTGGACAAATTAGGTGGCCATAATAGTTACTCGTATCCACAAGAAATGAAAGCTGGCAATTGATTGTTGACATGTATATATTGACAATGAAATCGCTTGCATCTTGAAACGGCCCTTAGCTGTTACATTTTACTAAGCTGTTCCAGAATTCTGCACAAACATGACTTTGAATTCACTTGCTTGTTCACATCATGTTAGTGGAGCTGTGTTTTTTGCACACCATCATACATTTATGGTGTGAACTGGGCACATAGAAAACAATTGTTTTGTGGTGACGTGCAGAAAAACGCAGCTCAACAGACATGGTGTGAACCAAGTCCCTAAGAGGAACATCACCTAATCCCATTAAATTAATGGACAATGTCTCTTTCCCTTTGATGGTCTCTTATCCAACAAACTTACTAGGTCCAGTAAATCCTGCATTGTCGTTTTCTCCCGTGCTGCTCTTCCACTGCATGTACTGTCCCATGGCTCCATCTTCCTTGTATGTTATCAGGAGCTGGCTGTCTCTTCTGGGTTCTTGCGGCCGACCCATGGATAATGCAGCACCAGGTCCTTCTTCCCCTGGTCCCTGTGGGGAAGTCTGCTGCCTCCTGGGATATTGGAAGCTTGTATCCCAGGGGCTGCAGGGGAAGGATACTCATCATTCTTGCCTTGGTGAGAATGGAGGCAGGGGGTTGGGTTCACCATGCAAACAAAAAATGGTATGCTTTTTTATGTTTGGGTTGATTCAATTCTTGAGTGAAGGTCCATTTTTAGGAATATTGGTTTCTTCTTACTGTACCATCATAAGTACATTTTGCTTTTGTTATGTAATTCAAGGATAAATCCTATTCAGTTTTTATTTTTTCTATAAGCATTGTTTTCCACGTGTGTTTGATTGCAAAGCAGGGAAAGAGCCATTTATGGCACTGCTGTGTGTTCCCCATAGAGTAGCGTGGGCTTATGTATAAAACTATTGGCTTAATCAGGATGATTCATCTCTAAGAGTACAGCCTGTTCTGTCTGGATAATAGTGCTCCAAATGTATGTCTATAACACAGCCATGTACATCTCCCACGCATGTGTACACAAATTGAGTTATTAAAAGTACATTTAACAAAATTAAAAGCCAACTGGCTTCAGTTACCTAGAATCCCCAAATAAAAAATAAAGTTCCTGTTTGGCTTCTACAGCTTAAACTGAGGTTATTTTAACAAGCCCTGGAATATATCCAACAGCCTAAATATTACAGCTTTAGTTATTTTGGAGGCTTTACAAAATACCAGACTAGCTTGCATCACTGTTAAAGGCAATCAGTTGGGCAAAAACTAGGAAGGTGATGGCACCCAAGTGTCATTGCCCCAGTTCCTCTGGCAAAATGGTTTTGGGGATTTTCCTCTGACCTATGCACCATTCCCAAACGGGGCATTCGCCCCCATCTTGGATCTCAAAGCTCAGAATGTCTTCATTCGAGCGCTTTAATTCTGCATGGTGCGTTCACCAGCTGTTCATCAGGCAGATTTTGTGACTTATGTGGACAGCAAAGGTGCCTACTTGAATGCCCTTACCTTTACAGATCATCAGCATTTCTTATGTTTTGCTGTGGGACCCCCACACTACCCATTCCATTCCGATCCTTTCCCTTTCAGCCTCTCATGCGCACCTCAGGTTTTTGAGGTACTGGCACTGTGTGATCCTTAGGCAACCTCATGTTGAGGGAACAGTTGTCACTGGATCTGTTGGACAACATGGCATTGACTGTCCAAATTTACAGTGGTTCAGGTGGATCCAGGAATCTTAGCTTGAACTCAAGGTTTGACCTGATTCCAGAACTATACCCAGACATTCCAGAGCAGTGGTGGGTAAACTCTGGTCCCCCAGCTGTGGTGAAACTACAAATCCCATCATGCGTCTGTCTGGGAGTCGTGGCTGTGAGAATCGTACAATGCCTCATGGGATTTGTAGTACCACAACAGCTGGAGGGATAGTTTGCCCACCCCTGCTCCAGAGTGTTTCTTCCACAGGAAAAAGTTCAGACTTTCCATCCAATCTCAGCTTTGAGGTGGTATCTTTTTGCCACACTCTCTGTTCCTCTCCTACACCACATTATTTCATAGTAGGACAAGTTAGTCAGGTGGCTCACAAATCCGGGATTGGGGAAGTCCTTCCACACCGTCCTGTCTGTGTAGTAGACTTGGTCGTTGGAGGAGTTTCGTCTCCCCATCTTGGAGCTTTGGGTAATTTGGCTGTCCCTGCAGCAATGAACCACCCAGATAGAAGATAATCTGATCTGGATTCAGTTGGCCAACATTACAATGGTGATGTACATCAACCATCAGGATGTAAACAGAAGTGTCACCAAAGCAATAGAGGTAGATGAGCTTGTTTCCTGGGCAGAACGTCATATTCCAACCTTGTCCACCATGTACATCCGAGGCATGAACTGGCAGGCAGACTTCCTGAGTTGGCAATGTTCCTCATATTCAACACCTCTGAGAGGCAAGTGTCTGAAATGGAAGCTTTCTCCTGCATGGAACCATTTCTGGTTTTACATAGGGACAAGGGGGCTTTGAGGCCCAGGACTTTCTTCTTGCCTATGGTACTTTCTGCCTTTTCATCCCACCCAGGATATCACTCTTCCATCCCTCATTTAGACTCCAGTTCATCAAAAAAACATTTTCTTGCTATTGTCTGGTTGTTCAGGCTGATAGTGTCTCAACTACTGCTTCTTTCAGACAGTCTGATTTTCCTTTTTGTCATATCCGATGGTCCCCGTAAGAGTGAACTGTCTTCTCATTCCATCATCTCAAGGTGGCTCAGACAGACCATCATCCAAGCTTATGGTCTCAAGGGTCAGCTTCCACCCTTTCCTGTCAAGGAGCTCTGTAAGTGCTTCTTGGGCTTTTCAGCATCAAGCAAGGGTTTCAGATTTGCAAGGCTGCCACCTAGTCTTCTGATCACATGTTTTCTAAGTTCTACCATGTGGACATTCGGCCTCATCTTATGCCTCCTTAGAGCATAAGGTCCTTTTAGGTTAGGCATTCCCTAAGTACAGCACAATTAGTACTTCTTGGGCCACTTAACATTTGCTATGTTGGCTCACTCCATAGCCGGACTGCTTTTGAATGTCTCATAGGTAAAAGACTTGCTGTGTCCCTCAATAGACAAAGAACATCTTTTTTTTTTTGTGGAGCCAATTGAGGGACATACATGGGTTCCACCCCTCTGTGGTTTTGATCATGCTCTTGATACAGCTATACTCTGTAACGCAGAAAATCACTTGTGTAAAAATTGTCCCCTTTTAAAAGTTCTTCCTGCATATTTTTACCTCCACAAAATAAGCTGATGCCTGAGGTCTGCATGAACTTTATACATGCCTCTCTATAGGAGTAAACCAAACATCCGGCCTAGCCAATCATTCATGTTAATGTGATTGGATAGGCCGGATGTTAATTCAGCAGGAATATTACATTTACAGAAACCTGTACCGAGTAGAATATGTAGGCTGCATTGCTGACCTGTTGGGTTTTCATCAATCATTGTTCATCTCTGTTTTCAATTTGATCTATTTCCAGGACTCATAGAATAACTATCACTAATTTCTGCCTTGGGAAACACTTGGTGAGTGAAGATGACCTGTTAAAAGATCAGAGAGGAAGTCCAGCATACATCAGTCCTGATGTACTTAGCGGTAAGAAACATTTTACAAGCACCCCCTGTGCTCTTTCCTATGTTCATAGTGCTGTCCGCACTATTTTTTGACTGGCATGAAAAATTAGATTTCTAATCTGAATTCTGATACAGTTGTTACATATATTTACTACTTTAAAATACAACCCCAATTCCCAAAAGGTTGGGATTTAATGTTCGAGTTTAGTGTTGCTTTAATGCAGTGCTGCCTGAGGGCCCAAAGATTATGGACATCCAATATTGCATTTCGGCCTTGTCCCTTGAGCACAGAGATTCTCAGAATCTTTTGGCCTTGTCCCTTGAGCACAGAGATTCTCTGAATCTTTTGGCCTTGTCCCTTGAGCACAGAGATTCTCTGAATCTTTTGGCCTTGTCCCTTGAGCACAGAGATTCTCTGAATCTTTCCGCCTTGTCCCTTGCGCACAGAGATTCTCGGAATCTTTCCGCCTTGTCCCTTGCGCACAGAGATTCTCGGAATCTTTCCGCCTTGTCCCTTGAGCACAGAGATTCTCGGAATCTTTCCGCCTTGTCCCTTGAGCACAGAGATTCTCTGAATCTTTTGGCCTTGTCCCTTGAGCACAGAGATTCTCGGAATCTTTTGGCCTTGTCCCTTGAGCACAGAGATTCTCGGAATCTTTTGGCCTTGTCCCTTGCGCACAGAGATTCTCGGAATCTTTTGATATTATGTACTGTAGATGATGATATATTTAAAGTCTTTGCAATTTTCTGTTGAACATTATTCTGAAATTGACAATTTTCACAGATTGGTGAACCTCTACCCATCTTTACTTCTCAGACTCTGACCCAGTCATGTTACCGATCTGTTGCCAAACAACCTAATTAGTTGCAAAATGTATTCCCAGCTCTTCCTTGGTAGTACAACTTACTTTGCCAGCTTTTTGTTGCCCTGTTCCAACTTTTTTGAGATGTGTTGCTGCCATCAATTTCAAAATGACAGTACCTTATTTTTTTTCTTAAAATGGTACACTTTCTCAGTTTAAACATTTGATATGTTTGCTAGGGTGAATAAAATATAGGTTTCTGATATTTGCAAATCATTGCATTCTGTTTTTATGTAGATTTTTACACAGCGTCCAAACTTTTTTGGAATTGGAGTTGTAATATTGTGGTGGTTTTTTCTGTTTGTTTTTTTGTTTTGTGTGTTTTTTTTTTTTTTGCATGCCCATGTACTTCATGCTACTTGGTTATAATTTGTTATCAGACCGCACTCTGCTTTACAATGAAAGTAGGATGGAGGAAGGAAGTAGTGTTTTATGACATTGGCCCAGAAGGAGAGAGGTGGGATGTCACATAAAATATGCATTTCTACTTTTCTCCTGTTCTAGATTTTCCACACAATGACTGTGATAGTTGGCACTTTAAGTTGGTTTAACCGGCTTAAATAATTTAAAGTGTAGTTTGCCAGAGTTTGGGTCACACAATGCAGGGGAACAAAATCTGAAAAATGCTCATGTGTGGGAGTGCATTACATACAGGCAAATGGCTCCTGCATGTGAAGTCCCTGAAATTTCAACGACTATTTATCCCAGGAGGCTTTTGCAGCAATCTAATCATGCCAGTGTACATGTCCATTGTAAGTGGGACTTTAAACAATACTGCCCATGCAATTCCTTGTGACAATCAGTAAACCAAAGTTTTACTGCACAGGACTGCCACAGTACACAGCTCTTGGTTTCACCAGACAACAGCTTTAATGTGTATGAAAGCAGGATTGCTTTGGAAGGGCAACCAAGTTGAAGGAACGTAGGTCATATTGACAATGGATGTGAGGCAGCAACGTATAATCCAGTCCGCCGTCTGACAGGTGAAGTCGGGACAGTTACAGCACTGTGATTTATGCTTTCTTACAGAAGTTCATCAGGAGAGTCCCATCTTTTTTATTTTTACCTAGGACTTTTAATTTGTTTGGGGTGTGATATTTGTTGGCTTTTATTCTAATTGTCTGCTTTCGTTTCTGGACTAGAATTAATAACTGTCCTTTCTGTTGACTCAAAGGTCGGCCTTACCGAGGAAAGCCAAGCGACATGTGGGCTCTGGGCGTAGTCCTATTCACCATGTTGTATGGTCAGTTTCCCTTCTATGACAGCATACCTCAAGAACTGTTTCGCAAAATTAAGGCAGCAGAATACTCTATCCCAGAGTGAGTTGGATTTTACTAATGGAGAATTGCATTTACGTGTATAACTGAAGCTAGCAACAGTTGGATATTGTTTCACATTTACTGTCCAGATCAATCAGAATGTAACAAATAACATGTTGTATGAAGGCATTGTTTTAAAGCATCTCTGTCGAATTTCTAATGTGTTAAGAAGTGCATTGGTGCATGTTTGTGGCTCAGCTGCTGAAATATTTGTAATACATGGGGTTGGCACTATACCCCTAAATTGTCAAATCTTTGAGCCCACAACAGAGTAAACAAACTTCTTGGGCTGTTCTGTATGTAGGCAGACCCTTAGATGTAACATCCAGGTCATAATATTTTTTTTTTTTAGTAGATGGAGAGCTGGCATTTCTGTAAATTTGTCAAGTCTGTTGCAGTGCTCTTACGCTGCTGCTTCCTGGTGTTGGAGCAGTATCGTCACCCATTTGTCATATACCAATGCTACGATTGGCTGCTAGGCCCAAGCGCTTTATCATGAGAGGTCAAGTGCTCCCCCATTCCAGATAGCACTGGGTGTTTTGTAGTGGCAGCATTTGAAGGAGTGGAGGGGTGGAAGCACTGTGGTGGTAAGTATTGGGTTATTAGGTAGGCTTTACATAGACCATGTCACTTTGTCCTGAAAAGGCAAGGTGACAGTGTCCTTTGTTTTATCATCTGAAAATTGTAACTTTCAGGCCCTTTTAATGAGCTACTATCTGTGCTTAGGTTCCTTTGTTTGTCTACCTGATGTAGCTCTTCGCAGGGGGTCCAACTCTCATTGTGTATTTTTCTATTTGGTTTTATATTCTAGAAATCGAATGCCCTAAACTCCCAGGTAGAGGAACAGAGTTTGGAACTGTGATAGAGAGGTCTCTGTTTAAATTTTCAACACGTATAAGTAGAAAGGGGCTGACTCAGCCCAGTGGTCTCCACCTATAACTAAAATATCACTTTGTTGGAATGGTCCTTTGTCAATTCTCCTTTTTATATAGTATGTTCAAATAACAAGTAGGGATTTGTTTAGGAAGAGAAAAATAGTGTTGATGAGGAACCATAGTATGTGAAGTCTTATTCATAGTTGTTCATTCATAGTGCTGAAAAAAAAGCCGATTCACAATTGATGCTAGTGTTTATAAAATCATTGCAAACTATTCATTGATAGGTCATGGCTGACTTTTTTTTTTGTACTGGCTAGGTCATCCTTTTTATAGCTTTTGATGTACCAGGAGTCTGGACTACCTATAACATGACTAACAATTCTTTACTTTTCTTCTCTTCAAATACAGGGATGGCAGAGTATCAGAGAACACAGTTTGTCTAATAAGAAAGCTGTTGGTTTTGGACCCTCAGCAGCGCCTGACTGCATCTGAAGTTCTGGAGTCTCTTGGAGGAATCATATCTTCATGGTAGATTGCTATTCAAATAAATACATAGTCACACATTTTTAGATGGAAACCGAATTGGCTAGGACTCTGGTTTATGAGACTTTTTACACTTGAATGGTGCCCAATATTTAAAAAAAAGCTTACGATCTAAGGATATTCCGATGTGATATTTATTTTTGGTTTTACTGAAACCATTTTAACTAGCGGCATTAGACCCTGAACCCATAAGATAATCCCCAGGATAGATGTACTACCGCAACGTAACCTGGCTTGGTGAGTCACTGACTGGGAACAAACATGCAGCCAGTGACGTGTCAGCACACCTGCAGTGTAGCTGTTCCAGGTCAGTGGCTTTGCCAAGTATTAAAGAAAGGATCAGAATGACAGACCTTGAGCCAAACTTTTATGCCTCATTAAAAGCCGTGAATATACTTCGTAAGGACTGACACACGTGCTGCCAGCTTCAGCAGATGGTAAAATGCTTTTACAATGAGTCGTATACAATACTGATCCCAGTGCGTATGTTAAATAATAAAACTCGTGTGTGGAAAAAAAATTCAGATTTTGGAACTATTGGCAATAAGTATTTGCACCTTCAGGGGTACTTGGGACAAGTTAATTCGGGTGTTGCATATTATAATATATAATAACCTACCAAAAACCAATGTTGGTAGGTTAAAGATATACAGGATCCACAAATTCAGTATTTTGTTTAAAAAGCATAATTGGCCCCCTTTAAATTTGGTGTGACAGTAAATTGCGAAATATGCTAAGCAAAAACAGTCAATTCCAACTAAAAGTGCCATAGCCACCACAAAGTGGTTAAATGATGTATCAATTAAAAGAGAACTATGGGGTAACCTTTTTATACCATAGTTCTCTTTAAGGTCATGGGAGGACCTATACTAACCTCCTCCTGTGACCCAAAATTCACTATAGCACACTACATACCGAGAGCACTGTGTTCGGGACGGAGCCTGACATTACTGTCGAGATCCACCCAGCTGCTGATTGACAGCGGGCTCTACCTATCTAGAGGCAGAGCCAGCTGTGCCCGCCCCCTCTCCCATCCGTTCCTCCAGTCAGTATTGGAGGATTGGGGGGGAATCCCCGGGGTGACTGTCACGGCTCTCTGCAGGGTGATCAGAAAGTGAGCAAGTGACGGTATGTGTTCGCTCACTTCCTGATCAATCGAGCCGACCTTTGACAGCTTCAATGTCACACTTCAGCTCTGACTATGAGGTAAGTGTAAATGACTCACCTCATAGTTCTCCTTAGGTCTTGTTCACACCTAGGCGTATTGCAAATGCGTGCCTGTCGGGCGTTTTTTTTACAGCGATTCCGAAGGCTACTTGGCTGTATCCCAATGGAAACGCGCAACAAAACGGCCCAAAGTAGTACCTGTACCTTTTCAGGCGTGGGCCGTTTTGTAGCGCGTTAGGGACGGGTGGAAATACGCCAAGGTGGGAACGAAACCATTGAATACAATGGGATTTATATTTTTGAGTGTTTTGTAGAGCGTTCGTCGAGTGTAGAACCCGCTACAAAACGTTCAGGTGTGAACGAGGACTTAAAGTAGCAGTATCAGTGTGTATGTACAGTGTATATATATAAATACATCTTATGGTCCATCATATTCCACAAATAAAAGTTTAATCCAGCATGGATATTGTATGCAACTCGGAACAATATTTAAACTCTGCAGTGTTTAAGGGTCATGTGGATTTCATAGCAACGTGGCATGGCATATCAATGATGTCATGTTATGAACTGGCACAGAAGCCCGATTTAAATTTTTTATTCGGGGGTTAAAAGACACGAATTTAACAGTAACATTCATTATAGCGATGGTTGTATAACATTTTTGAATTTGATGATCAATAATGAACAATTCATAACAATTACATTTAATCTGCAAAGAAACAGCAAGTCCCCAACCTGGATATGTTCTAAATAGTTTGCCGATGGGGCAGTATCTGAGCTTGTGTGACTACACAGAACCAATCTGGAGAAGCACATTTGGAGATGGGACCCGCCTTGCAGGCTGGCTAGGTACAGGAGTTGACTCTGCCAATCAGCAGGCAGACTCAGGACTCGCGTGGATGGTCATTTTTGGGCCCTGTATGTGGCTAAAGCACTCCTCCTATGTTTGACTCTAAATGGAACTGCTCAATGTTTAAATATTGCTGTGCGTTGCATACAAAATCCATGCCTGATAGAACTATTCTTTGCGAAATATGATCTTGCAAGGTTGCTTTCCTAATCCAGGTAATTTTTTATGTCAGTTCTGCTCTCGTAATAACCTCTTTCAGAGCATATCTTTAATTTGTAAGTATCTAAATATCTGAGTATTCCCTGTCTGTAGGCAATCCATGTCTTCGTTAAGTGGCCCGCTGCAGGTTGTTCCTGACATTGATCATGTGACAAGCCCAGAGAACTTGCAGGAGGTAAGGACTGTTGTTGGTAAAATTGCATTCTATGTTTAAAGTGACCTTGTCAGCTTAGACATATCCAGATAAATGTTCTCTTGAGAGAAAGATGGGTTATACTACGGTATGTCCGTGTCATAGACATTCAACACTTCCAGGTCTCCCGGTTTCCATCCTCCAACCCCTATGTCTCTGCTGTGTCCTGTAGTGTGAGAATGGAACCACAGTGCATGACAAGCATGCCAGCATCTGTAAGTCTTGGGAAGTGTTGAATAATGAACACCCTTATGGAGGATACATTGCTGAATGAGGGAGGGATGGTAGCAGACACACAAACAGCTGGAGAGGTGGTATAGTAGCTCTTTTCATGCAGGAAACATGATCTAGATATTTTTTTAAGTTGAAAGGGTCGCCTTAATTTCTTAAAATCCAGTTTAAGTTCTATACTGTAGTTTGGTTTAAGATGCAGAATACATGTTGTCTTTTTCTCTACCTTACTTTTTTTTCCCCTCTAGACTAAAGTGACAGAAGAATCATCTCAATATGAGTTTGAAAACTACATGCGGCAGCAGCTTCTTTTGGCAGAGGAGAAAAACACAATCCACGAAGCTAAGAACTTCCCTCAGAAACGTCACTTTGGCAATTTCCCACCCATTAGAAGATTGGGATATGATGCTCAGCCAGTGAGCCCTTTGGACGCTGCAATTTTGGTCCAGCGATACCTTCCTCCCTCACACCTGACTCTTCCCAGTTCTCACTAACTCCATTAACCCCTAGATGCTTCATTGTCTCTTGAAAACATCAGGTGGAGAATCCCCGTCAGCTGTGAAAGGTTTACATGGTGCTAGACTTCTACTTTGCCTCGCTCACCTTTTTATTTCCCTTTTACTATGATCCTGTATAAAAATATTGCACATAAGTCCTGACGCCCCCGTTGCCCCCTTCCAGTTATCCTATAGCAATACACTTCTAGCACAATGAATACAAGCTAATGTAGCATTTATTTTCAAGCAGGGTGTAAATTTCAGATGCCATTAGCTGCAGACAATGCAAGCAAGGCACGGCAGCATTAACATTTGTTTTTATTTTTTGTAATTCCCTTTCTGATACAATCTTATTCTTTAGCTCTCAGCTTTTTTTTTTAAATATATACATATATATAGATCTATACATAGACATTAAATCTACCTCTCTTTTGTAGCAAGTTCCACAGAGTGGAAACATACAGCATTTAGAAGGAGTCTGCTGTGGAACAGATTTGTCAAAAAAGAGCAGTACACAGTAACAAATAATGGCAAATCAGATCTTTCACTGCAATGGCTAAAGTGCAGAAATCTGATTTGGTTGTTAGTTGTTAGTGCACATCATTGCTGTTTGCACCATATTATTGAATAAAGGCCATAGTGTGCATTTTTCTGTTTTATAAAGTACTGCTGATGTTACGTCTTTGATTTGTGTGTTTCAATTAGACGGATTGCACTGTTTGTCATTATATTTGTTTTTCCGGGGACTGGCTAGATCTAAACCCTAGGCAATTTGCAACATCGGAATTAAGAGCCATATATGAAAGTAAACCTGTCCCACAGGCACATGGAGGCTGCCATTTTTAAACTCTTGAAAATGGTTGCTGTCATGCTCATCTTTTTAATAGCTTAAGTAACTGACCACAAGTTCTGGCTTTGCTTTTACTTTTCTACTCTGAATTACTGCTATGAGGGGGTGGTGTTGTAACAGCTTTCTTCTTGTTTTGTTTTTTTTTAGTTTTGATAGTGTGCGGTTGAATTGGAACCTCTGCTGGAGCTTCACTGCTATTTATCAGTCAGAACCCATATTGGGTTTTTACCAATACTCAGTGAGTTTCCTCTAATTCCTCACTCCACCATCCAATACGTGTAAATAAAGCTAATAACCTACAGATAATGAATTACAGGATGCATTTTGCATACCAGAAGAAAAGTAAAATGTAATTCTATCTAGCTTGAAATATTCAATTCAGAGATCTGATACAGTATATGAATATAATGTGAAATACATTTTCTTTAATATTCCTAGCTGCTCAAAATGCAGTTTCCTTATGAAAGTTTTTCTGTGGCACCAATACCATATAAAAGGAAACTGTTCCAGAACACCTACAACAAAGCAATGTACGTGCTTGTCACACCTGCGCAAAGGGGGTCTTAGAAAACCACTTTTGGCTGTGTGTGGTATATAACTGGCTAGTACTTACAAATACGGCATGCTTGTTTTATATAGGGCTGCTAGACTTAAAATTGCCATACATAACAGATTCATACACATGTAAACTTTCCTAATTGGTTTTAGCACAGTAAAGCTTTTTTAAAACAAAGTATTCATATGTCTCATTCCATGGTGTAAAGGGTAAGTTTCTTTTAGGTTTGAGGCAATTCACTCCTTTTTAAAGCTAGAGGACACTCCCTCTTCCTCCCTTAGCACAGTATCTGGCCTCTGCTCCCATAAACCAAAAAGCTTCACCAAATTGTTCTTATCCTTTGATTTTATTCACCAAGATTGGAAACATCTGGACAAGTAATTAAGCGTTTTATGGCACTCCAATACTTTCGCAGACATTTTGATTGTCTACTCCACCTGTAGTCACCCCGTTGGTGTCCTGCCTCAGTAGGACTCTTGACTACCCTTGTAGCACATGCTCCTTCCTTTTAGGGCCTTTTACAGATGGAAACATTGAAATCAATTTATTGGTCCATATATAATTTGGTGGCTCTGCTCTCCAACTCATGCTGGATTTGGTATTCTTATTTCTTAAACCAGGGGTAGGCAACTTTGGCTCTCCAGATGTGCTGAAAGATGTGCATGAAATCATGCTTCTGCCTCGGAGTCATGCCTGTGGCTTGCGATGCCTTATGGGATTTGTAGTTTCAGCACAGCTGGAGAGCCAAGGTTGCCTACCCCTGACATTGGTTGGCTGGGCAATATCCCTCAGTAGAGGCTTGGCAGTCAGCTTATAGACTACTGACCAGATGATTGTTGCACCTGTGTGACACAGCGCTGGTTACTTTCCCCTTTTATTAAATTTCTAAAATACAAAGGGAGCAGTAAGAGTACTAATTTACCTCTGGTATGAAAAGGTAAGGTGTAAGGGGAGACGGCTAAATGGCATTTTGGGGAAGCTCACATTGTGGATGCTTTGTTGCAAGATATTGTTTCCAGAGTCCTGCTTTGTCCTCAGTTTTGTGCTGTGTCCCTCCTACATGTCGTCCATACTGTACAGATCTCATTTTATTTTTGCTGACTCAACTGGGAGGTTTCAAGGTTTTTAAAACCTAAAGGAGGCTTTGGCCAATATTGCATATTGAGGCTTTTAACTCCATCTGCCCTCCATAGTTTTGGATGCAATCTATACAGTCAATTGTTGCCTCCATTCATCATTAAAAATTCTTGGCATCCATCAATGTAAGAGATGCATATATACACATTCCTATTTTCTCAGGCCATCAGCCATACCTTTGCTTTGCAGTGGATAATAAACACTTTCAGTTTGTGGCACTTCCCTTTGGTCTTCCTTTAACCCTGAGAGTCTTCACAAAGGTTCTCAGTCCTGGTCCTTTTTTTTTTGCCTTCTGCTATGTGAATGGGAACATGTAACAGATAGAAAATAGGTGTTCTAGCAAAATTTTCCGTTTTGAGTGAGCATTAGTGGGTTAAAATTGCTTGCTCCATTTAAGATCAGTTAAGAGCCCCAAAGGCAAGATTTCCAAGTAGCAGATTCTCTGCCTCTCCCTTAGGGCTATAGTTAAGGATGTTCTACCATTAAAATACTAGATAAGCTGATATGTGGGGGAGGACAGTCTCCTCTGAACATAGATAAGCATGCATAATCAGTACTACTGCATGTCATTGTCTGTTTAAAAAAAAAAGGAATACGCATTTGATACTTGTCTGTATGTTGAATATTTCCTGCTTCAGAAGTCTCACTGTTGTGAAAGTACAGACAACCACTAGAGGGCAACCATGATGTTTTCCTTGATTCCCTGTCCTAAAGTGGGACTTAACTGCACGGTACATGATTATTATTTGAATGTGATGGTTTTTTTGTAGTACTTACAGGTTTAACCTTTTTGGAAATTGTAGGATGCTTAGGGGAGGCCAATTTAGGATAGTTTATTTTATGCAAAGATCATTTAAAGGTCAATATTAAAATGTGAATCAATCACTGTTTTTAAAAGATGTACCAGAAAGATTCACCTGCGTTCACATGGTTGGTGAATGCCACATTGACTGCTTTTATAAATATCAATCTTTTTCAGAAAAAGTTTCCTGGTTCATCAATATTTACAACTGCTCTGTAAATAGAAAACAATCTTTTTGTGATGGGCCTGCAAACAAAATTAAATGTAGCTTTATGCAGCAAGCTTGGCATATGAACTTTACTGAGCCTTTAAATCCCAATTGAACAGGGCAGCAACACATTCAGTTGTTAAAGAAAACACACACACACTTTTTTGGTAGAGTGACGCTGGCCATACACTTTACAACTGTCTTGCGAGGGTTGTAAAGTAATTGGAAAAACTTACGATCTGCCCATCATGGACAGGCAGATCGTACTTGTGATCATTGCAAGCCCTCCCCGCTGACTGCAATGCTGAACGGGCAGTGTGCACACCGGCCCGTTCGGCAGTTGTCGAACAAGCACACCACTAACGTACAATTCTCGGCGGGCTTTCCAGCCTGCTTGTTCGCCGGAAGACATGCGATCGCACAGTAGAAACGGTCGCACGCCATCCACACACTTTGCGATTATCGTGGGATTTCCCGCGATTATCCTATGATAATCGTACAGTGTATGGGCACCTTTTTAGGGAGGGTTATAACCCCTATCAGATTTTTTTTTTGCCATCTGTGTCCCATTGGGGAGATTTTTATTAATTTCCTGTTTTGATATTCGAAATAGGAAGCGAGGGAAATCCCTGGTAGTCAACAGGGTCACCAAAATAGTGTCCCCATTGGAAGATGTCATATTTATGCTTGCCCTTGTGAAAACCCAAAATGTGTGTTGTTTTTTTCCTTTCAGTGATTCAGGGCCTGTTCACATGACGTCCGTTTTCTGTGCTGACCTGATCCGTACGCTCCTGCACTAAAACTGCATCCCAATGTATCCCTATATGTTTTATGGGCTACGGTTCTCACGTGCGCAGTCCGTTCAGCTTACGACAGAAAAAATACCGCATGTCACATTTTGTACGGTCAGGAAACAGACCGAAAACGCGTCAAACGCACTGCAGCTAACAGACTGACAGCCCCACGAACGCATCAAAAACGTGGTCAAAATGCACTGCATCAGTAGCACCGCGTCTGCAGATCCGCACCTGATCACGACCTGAGATCATGTGAACAGGCCCTCAGTCAGCAGGACAATTAGAGATGGAAATCTCCCTAAATCTGGCCATACACCTTACAACCATCGCACGACTTTCGTTCTGCGATGGTTGTAAGATAACTCAAATTTTGTACGATCTGCCCATCTTGGACAGGCAGATCATACTTGCAATCATCGCAATCCCTCCCCGCTGAGGGGAGGGCTTCTGATGATTGCAGTGCTGAGTGGGCAGTGTGCGCTTGCGGCATTAGTCTTCCGAGCACGCCACTAACCCGCCCAAAATCGTATGATTTTCGGCAGGTTTTCAAGCGTGCTCGGAATACGAATGTCGTGCGACCTTACAGTAGAAGAGTCGCACGCTGCCCATACACCTGCTGATTATCGTAGGATCAGCCCCGATTATTGTACGATAATCGGCAGGTGCATGGACACTTTAATGGGGACATACAGTCATAAAAACCTGACCGATGTCATAATCCCTGGTCACTCTAGGGCCCCTTTCACATGAGCGGTCCGATCAGGAAGTCTATGGGCAGCTGAGTTT